AAGTACCTTGGCAGTACGTCAGAAGTAGAAAAGTTAGATGCCCTGATTGTGTTGAAAGACTGGGTGCAATTTTTATCAGACTTTTTTTTAATCACAATTGACTGGGAAATTGCTAATTATATGTCATTATATGGTTATACTTTTTTGCCTAGTCAATAACCAGGTTGCCCCTTCTGAAGATGGAACAAGTTGCCTTGTTGCCTTCAGCAGATCTGCAGAACTCTGGCTGTCCCCTGTGATTTAGGTGACAGAGGCAGAAGGAAGCAGACCTCTGCGTTTGTCAGCTGATGTCATCAGCAGAAGATGACCTTTAAGTAACCTAGGCTCCCTTAGTTGCTGAAGATATTAAAGTTGGCAAGTATATGACTTCAGTATTTAGTTCAAAAGTTCAGAATGGAAAGAGGGGTCCATTTAAAATGGCCTCATTTGAGAAGAATAGAACAGGGTCACAGTTACTGCTTAACTTTAAGCTCACAGTTTGTACATGACGTAACATTTGCTGGGAGCAAATGGAAGAGAGCCATTCCAATTTAGAAAGGGTATGAGACACACAAAGAGGCTATTATTTGTAGTGAACCAGTTGCCCTAGAAATTCTGTCTCTCTGTCTCCCTGTCTCTGTCTCCCTGTCTCTCTCTCTCTCTCTCTGTCTCCCTCTCTCTCTCTCTCTCTCTCTCTCTCTCTCTCTCTCTCACACACACACACACACACACACACACACACACACACACGATTTGAAGAAGCAGAATAGAAAGAATATAGATGCTTTGAATGTTGGTGTTGGAGAACCAACTCCCGAGAATACTATTAGGTAGCCAAGAAAATAAATAAATAGATACTAGAGCACATCAGTTTAGAGTTTTCACTTCAGGTACAAATGGTTAGGCTCAAACTTTCATATTTTGAGTGCATTATGTGGAGACCTATTGTAGCTTTCGTAAGAAATCCATAATGTTGGGAAGGGTAGATGAATTAAAAATTAGGATGACCAGCAACAAGGTGAGGTAGATGGATTGGTGCTTTGTCGGAAGACCTGAAAGACCAGGTTGAGGACAGATCATTCTGGAGAAAATCTATCTACATGGTAGCTAATAATCAACACTGACTTAATTACATGTAATCAATCAACTAATCACATTTATATTTCATCTGAATAGAATTATGCCTTCCTATTTTTATTTTTTTAAAATAGAATAAAAGGAATATACAGAAGCCATCAGCAATGTGATACTTTCTATCTTTCTTTGAGTACTTCTCTAAACCTGCAAGGTCAATGCCCAAGCTCCTGGGGTTAATGGAGTGAAAGTTTAATGTTGTGGAAAGCATAGGTTGAGGACAAATGCCACTGAACATCTGCAAAAAAAGAGTGGTATCGGGGGTTTTTAAACTCGCATCTTTTGGAAAAATTCTTCAGATTCACCCATCTTCACACCATAGTGCTGAGAAACATGACTTAACAATGTTTCTTTTTATTTTTCTTATATGTATCCATTTCATGTATTCATAACTATGTTATACTTATAACTGTTATCCTATAATCGCTTGACAAAATAAATAAATTAAATAAATAAATGTGATAAGGACTGAAGGAAGAGTGGGGAGAATGTTAAATTGTGGTTTGATCAAGAGACCAGGCTGTATTTTCTTGTTCTGAGCTAAGTGCATGTGCATATGGGGTTGTGCCAGAGGGTTCCAAAGCAAAACTGCTTTCATGATATTGCATGCAAGTATAAATCGGCAAGATCATCTAGATGGTATAAGGTAAATTTGGGATTACCATATTTAAGAAAGCATGGACAGTAGTTTTTGGGAGGCCAAGAAATTGTAGGACAGGGCTGTCAAACTCCCGGCCCACAGGACAGATGTGTCATGCGCTGGCCAGGCCCACCCCCGGTTTAGCAAATGGGGTTAAAGTCCCAATATGTCATGTGATGCAGCCGCGATGACGTGAGTTTGACACCCCTGCTGTAGGAGAAGGAATGGCAGAATCTGGGAGCGGAGTGAATAGGGAAATCAGCCTAGAATCATTATGTAGGCACAAGCAAATTAAATCCAAATTCCGTCAGGTGCCTAACTCTGATCAGGTGTTGATGGTTAGTTGAAACAAATGCCTGTATATAGACTTTAGTAATAAATCAGTTTAATTGGACCTTCATGTGTGGACCTGGTCTTTTGCACCTCATAAAAAAACAGCCTTAAGTATCTAGACCAAATATTCCACCAATCAAGCATTATATCATTATTCTTATTTGTATTAAGCTAGGAGTCCTTGCTAGATTCAAATCGGAGAATATTGGATTGATATAGAATAACAATAATGTAAAGTAGACTGTTTTGAATCTGTAATGGTTTTCCCAAGCCATGTGATTCATTTTAAGACTAGTATATATTTTAATTGCTCTGTAGTATTAGATAAATGTTTGAATCTAATGGAAAATCAATTGAGGTTACCAAATGCGAGTTCTGAAGTGTCATTCTAAGATTATGGTAAGCAAGTTTGGAATAATTTAGCTGCTGAGTGTCAACATTTATTAAGCAGTATAAGAGGAAACCTTGCACATCCAAAAATCCCTTGGAGAAGGGGAGAAAAAGATAACAAGAACCATGATTTTTCATACTAACTTCCTGATTTAAGATATAATTTAAGATTCTTTAAAAGAGTTTACAGCTAGGAGATTCAAACCAGTCATTCTGTTTTTGTGACAGAATTGAAACTTGTCATATTTAAAGGCTTTTGCAATATAAATAAAACCAAGGAAAGCAAGTTTGATTTCTCTGCCAAATAAATGGCATTCTTGACATCTAACATACTTGCAATAGATTTTATAGAACAGTAAGACTTTTTTTTGAAGATGCTAGAACAGTAAGACTTTTTTTTTGAAGATACTATAATGCACATAAATTTTAAAAGTTCTTTGTTTGCAAATATTGGCAGACATTTGATAAGATTTTCAATAAACTTACATTTGCATTACAGCATTTTTACATCAAAATTTGCTTACATGAAATTTATGCAGAATTCAGTAATTTCTTGTGACTGTTTCTTGGTTGTTTCATTTTTTGGCCCAAATATCGAAATTCTTTATGTATTGTTTTGATTTCTAATGCTAACATCTGATTAAATGAGCTGCACTTCATAAAAGCATATGCCTTTTAATAAAATTGGTTTGTCTGCAAAGATGCTACCAGATTTTTCCTGGTTGTTGTTTTTTTTTGGCAAAACATAGACGAACACAGCTCTCCTCTTACAAAACTAACCCTTTTACGTTGGTTGTTATTTTGTGCATGTTGAAAAGAAAACTTATGTTTGGATCTCTACTCCAGGAACATTTTCTGAGTGTGGTTCCATAAAATCAGTTGCTTTTCAGAATTTGTTACCGACATGATAGCAACCCATTTGCTGCATGTTCAGCTCATGAATTCAACTAAGAATTTGGCACTTACCGTTAATGCAACAATGCTAGAAAAACATACTGCTTTCGATTTTCCTGTGTTTGTATTTCTCTGCTTAAACCACATTGAGGAGGAAAATGTCCCTAGGTTGGTGGTAACTGTGGTTTAGACTCATTGTAAACACCCCAGATGGTTCATAAAATCCTTTTCAAATGCCATCTGTCAGGCGTGTGTCCAGCCAGCAGCCTGTCATTTTGCTGCAAGAAAAGAGAAGGCGGGAATTCCTTTACCTCTTGTTTCCCTTAGTTTGTTTCTGAATTGCAGTTGGGGGAACGTTTGCTTTAAAGCCACAAAGCCAGAAGCGACCATTGCTCTTCAGAATTCAAAATACGGATGTTTGTAGCTTGGTTAGTTCCACGGAAGGAGAAGTTACACAGTGTCACTGATCCTGTATCTTAAAGTTAGACCATGGCCTTGTAATAAGTTGCCCATTTCTTGAGGGCTTTTTTGGCAAAAAGACATGCCTGGAGCCACAAATAAAATTGAAAGAAGGTAAATCAATGGACCTTTAGCTCAGTCAGTGAGGAGAGCTCAGGAAGAGCAGTGAGCTGATACAAACCAGCCCATTTGACACGGTCAGATGTGTTAGTTCTCAGCACTTGGAACAAAAAAAAAAATACTACTAAAATCACATTTGTATAGAATTCAAAGCATTACAGCTGTGTCTCACTCATAGGGTGTATCTTTTCCCTAATATGAATAATATATAGATTTATTTTCTCCTCGTTGAGTCTCCAAGGATACAGGAACTGTGTTTTGCAGAGATACTCAGAATAAAGTACCTCTACCTTTACCTCTACCCGGAGAAAGTTAAATATACATCACTCAGAGTGCTTAATGTTCAATTTTTATTTGATTGTATCAAGATTATGAGAAACAGCTCTCCCTACCCCTTCCCACTCTATTTTATGCAAGTATTATCCTATTTGGGAAAGCTTTGTGAAATTAATTCATATTTCCTTGTATAAGTAGGCTAGGTATTTGAAAGGAATGAAAAACTATAAGTAAACTGAGAAATATTGCTATTCAGCATGTACTTGGTAGATTAAGAAAAACAGTTAGACTATCATAGAAACAGAAGATGCACAAAACAATATCCCTTGAAGGATGGCATAGTTAAAAATGTGAATATATTATGGAAATAAGCTCACGTTATAGAAAGATTCCAGTAAGAGAACCAGTGCTATTCCCTAAATAACCACTCAAATAGAAAGAACTTAAGAAATAATTTCTAGAGAGAAAATTCTTTTCTTCTCTCTTCCTCTCCTCTCCTTCTCCCCTCCCCTCCCTTCCCCTCCCCTCTTTTCCTCTCCCCTCTGACAAGCAGGGAGCAGAGCAAATGAAATAGTGATAGTTATCCATACTTGGGCAAAGAGGTGCTGCTTTAAACTCTCTATTGGCTTCTCTACCTTGACTTTTAACACAGAAGATTCCACCTGGCCACCACTGTTTCTCTCAGCATTATCAAAATGTAATATTTGTGTCTTTCCAATAGTACTCTTGTAACATCAATATTCACCTTGTTCTATCTGTTTTTTTCTTTAATTAGGCACCACACGTCCTCCAAGAGAAGGAGAAGTGCCTGGTGTGGACTATAACTTTCTAAGCGTACAAGAGTTTCTTGAACTCGAGAAAAGCGGAACTCTTCTTGAAGTAGGAACCTATGAAGGTATGTTCTGAGACACCTTGAATGTTGAAAGGAGAACATCTTGGGAAATTTTAAGAGGACATTTTGACACTCCTGAGTGTTTATAAGGAATCCACTGAAATATTTTGTGGGGTGGGGGGAGGAAATCTTATCTGTCTAAGTAGACCTCTACCACAACACAAAAAAATCAGCAATAGAAAGAATCCATTAAAGTTTAACATTATGTATTAACATTAGTTGCCTACAAAAATATATGACTGTATATTTTCCTCCATTGGTGAACCTTATGTCCAATGTATGCAGGTAATCTTCGACTTACAACAGTTCACTTAGCGTCCATTCAAGATTGCAACAGCACTGAAAAAGTCATTTATCCATCTCATCCTGGGCACCCTTTTTAAAACTATTACCATCTGGTAGATGGTACAGAATAATAAAAACAAGCACAAATAGGCTGAAAAACAGCTTCTATCCCAGGACGGTAGCTCTTTTGAATTCTACTGTAGAATGCAGTGTTGGTGCGGTGTCGGAGGTTTTCAGTTCAATGTATAGAATGTGAAGGTGGTGTGTTTGTGTTTACTTTCATAGTCATAAATTGTACACTGAAGATGGTATTTAATTTCATTGTACGAGGTGCAATGACAATAAAGTAAACAATTATGTCTGGTTTTTTCACATGTTTTTCGACCATTTCATTATCCCCATAGTCACATGATCAAAACTGGGATGCTTGGCAACTGACTCATATTTATGATGGTGGCGGTGCCCTGGAGTCACCTGATCACCTTTTGTGACCTTCTTACAAGCAAAACCAATGGGGAAACCAGATTCACTGAACATCTGTGTTACTAACTTAACAGTTGCAGTGCACGAAAAAAAGGGCAAAAGTCACTTAACAAATAATTCACTTAGCAACAAAAAAATGGGACTCAATTATAATTATAATTAAGATTTAATTATGGTCATAAGCCAAGGACTATCTGAGTACAATAGCCATAGAGCAGGGGTTCCCAACTCCCCCCCCCCCCGTCCATGATTTGTGAAATGGGCACAATTCGTTTATCAACCTCCTTGCTTTGCGGCGGAAATTTTGGGTTCAGTTGTGGTCATAAGTCAAGGACTAGCTGTGATATTGAGGTTTATTTCAGCCTACATCCTAATGTGTGCTGTGGTGAACAATTACTTATTGCTTCCTGTAATTTGTTTATTTGAAAATGTCTGGGTGTCTGGATAGCTGGACACATGAGCCTAAATAACATTGAACTTCATTGATTTGTTAATGATCTTGCAGGCCATTTAAGCCCCTTTTAGCTGCAATGCTATGCATTCTTAATTAGAAGAAAGCTTCACAGAATTGAGTCAAATATGTTCAGGGCTATTTTGTATTCTCTTCTCCTGCTCCTCTACTGCTCATTTTGCTAATGTTTAAACTCTCTCAAGTTTACTTCACTTTCTTTTTAAGCTAACAAAGATTTTGCTAGTTGGAGATTTTTGAAAGAATAGGAAATAATTCTTATAATAACAAATACAAAGGCATTCTGCAGAGGCTTTCTAAATAAGAGGTTGCTATGCCAATCCAGCCACAAGAGGTGATAATTGATATATTTCTGGGTGTCTTATAGCAATTATCATAACGCCTTTTCTCAGATTATCAGGAGGATGAATGGCTGTATATTAAAAAGAATGACTGAAATGTTCCATTAAAAAGAAGGGGAGTGGCCCTTCTTACAAAATTTAAGAACTATTCATCAAGTCTGTTTTCTTGCAAGTTTAATAATAGATCTTTATCATTTTCCCCTCTTTTGCTGCGTACGGAAATTCTTTTCAATCTGACTCAAAACTTTTAAAAATAAATTAAATGCAGATCTTCACTAAAGGGAAGGTCCATAGGGAAAAGAACTACGACACAGGTAGAAATTTCATCTTGCTACTAAAAACAATTGAGTCTTTTTACAGAATAATACAGTTGGAAGGGAGCTTGGAGGTCTTCTAGCCCAACCCCTTGCTCAAGCAGGAGACCCTATAAGCATTTCAGACAGGTGGCTGTCCAGTCTCTTCTTAAAAATCTCCAGTGTTTGTGTACCCACAACTTCTGGAGGCAAATTGTCCCACTGGTAAATTCCTCTCACTGCCAAGAAATTTCTCCTTAATTCCAGGTTACATCTCTCCTTGATGATTTTCCGTCGATTGCTTCTTGTCCCGCCTTCAGGTGTTTTGGAAAATAGACTGACTCCCTCTTCCTTGTGGAAGGCCCTCAACTGCTCTTCCTAGTTGTTCTTATCATTAAAGTAGACATGTAAAGAGCATTAAATAAGAAACGCTGCCAGCCGGCCCCGTCATAATGTTCAGGACCAGCCATCAGAGCCAGGCTTTAAGGCTCTTTTGGAAGTTTCCTGCCTCACAGGGGGGTTGGACTAGAAGACCTTCAAGGTCCCTTCCAACTCTCTTATTCTGTTACTCAGAAACCAGGAGTTTGGGTACAAACTTCACCATATTGCAGAGGGCAGGAGCCACAGCAGAAAAGGCTCTTTTCCTGGACCCCCTACCAGCTGAACTTCTTTGGCAGATGGGATCCAAATAGGCCTCTTTCATGGAGCGAACGGGACAGATTAATCCCACTGAAGTGAGATAGCTTCTCTGATACCCATGCCATAAAGGGCTTTAAAAGGTAATGACCAACGCCTTGAGTTGGATCCAGAAGTAAACATTACTTTGAGGCAGGGGTGGGTCGCTATGGGTTCGCCTGGGTTCAGGCTAATGTAGCTAATGTTATGGCCAGTTGGGCAAACTGCCAAACCCCACCCCTGGCTAGCCCTGCCCACCCCACCCCTCCCCCCCCGCCCTGCCCTGCCCCTCCCAGGAGTCTCCACACAACCCATTTTGGACGCGATGTAAGTGCCGGGCCCGCACGGAGGCTCAGGGAGGGGAAAAAACGAGCCTCCTGAAAGTCCAAAAATGGGCCCGTTTCCAGCCTCCGGAACCCGGGGGAGGCAGTTTTCACCCTCCCAGAGGCTCTAGGAAAGCCTCCGGAGCCTGGGGAAGGCGAAAACACCCCCTCCCTGCTGTGGTGCAGGAGGCCAACTAGGCCACGCCCACCATGACCACGCCCACCCAGCAACTGGGCAGAGAACCCATTGCTGAAATGTTTGAAGACCACCCCCGCTTTGAGGTTTAGTACAATAATTTAGAAATATAAATTAGCAGTATTGAGATATCCTTAGGGCTTTGTTTTAGCAACTTTGGTTTTCTGGACTTTTACAGGGACCTTACAATAGGAAGCAATCCTACTAAAAATCTTGTATTTCTTTTGTTTATCTTCTGCTTCTCATCTTTTTTTAAAAAAAAAAAACAGCAACAACCTCTAACCACGCTTTGCTAGTCACAGAAATAGAAATCACAGTACAAACTTGCCTAATTCTTTGTTTGTTTCATTCATTCATTACTATTGATGAGGCAAGGAAGTTTTCCTCTTCGCATATTGTGGGAGCCACCACATTATTAATTAAATGTGTATTTTTTTTTATCACTAAATTATGGTGGCTGCATAAATTCACTGCAAAATGTAAAAGGTTATGTAAGCACGATCCTGGCTTAGGCGAAGATTATGATGATTAGACAACCATTGATTGGAATTACATGTAGACTTTCCCCGCCCCCTTTCTGGTGGCTCCCCAAATAGTTTGTAAAATTGTGATGCATTTTCTTCAGGATTCCTTCTCTTTCCCACCACCCCCTCATTCCTTTCCTTTGCTTTCAGTGAATAGCCTGCAGACTAGAGGTTGATTTGTTCTACATAAGCTTTGCTTTGACTGCTCTCATTACTTGCAGTGGGTGTGTTGTGCTAAATCATAGGGTAGGGCTTTCTTGAGTCGACGACTGAAGTAATTTACATCATTAGGAGGTAAAAGAACAAATGGGGTACAATTGAAGAGCTTCGGAAATCGGGATATTTTTAAAATATATATATATGAAAATCAACATACACCTAAGACCACTGGATCAGATAAATATTATAAATATTTCCAAATATTAATGGAGCAAGCTATTGCAGTTAAGAGAATGCCCACATTTCAATAGTTAACTTTAAACTGACCTACCCAGTTTTATAACCTCTATTATGGATATGCAGATGAAAGCTTTCAGGCTTTACCTTTTTAGAAAGAAACAAGGATATTTTATTCTATTAGTTAATATTTAGGGGAAAACTGAATTAACAGGAAGCCTTTATAAAGGTTATCAGTGAATTATTTGTTTCTACTTGTGGTGTAAAACATATGTACCCATGTGAAATGTCTCACAACTGTCTTGGCATTTGTTTCTCCACATTGTGGGAGAACCAAATGTAACCTTTAATTACAATCGGCGACTAAAACCAGGTATAAATGACATTTTCCAAAGGACAGTGTGATTTTACTGTGATTCCGAGAAAAGGGATATAGGTAGAAAGCAGAATATTAAAAAATCCTTTCTGTACAAGAAAAGGTAGTTCTTGGGAAATTATCTGTAAACTTAAACGTTTAAGAAGTTGTGCATAGTTTCTTAATATCTGGCCTAATATCCTTTTAATTGCTGTGTTGAATGAGATAGAAAAATGCAGTGTGTGTGTTGGGGTAGTTTAAGGTAGCAACTAAATCGTTGGACTGAGATTAGGAAGACTCAGGTTCGAATTCCCATTCACTTTGTGATTTTAAGCCATTCACAACTTCTCAGGTTAACATTGTACAGAATTCAGTTATATTGCCTTGTTTCCCCCTAAGACAAGCAGGATATAAATGTCATGGTAAAGGAGGTGCTCCTAGATTGGGAATTATGGATTGTAAGTGACAGCCCAAACTCCATTTGCTGTTGAATTTTACCATGAAAAATAATTGGGCTTGGTGTCAGTTTATGTCCTAGTTGTCTCCAGTCCAAGGCAAAGAAAGGAAACCTGAAGCCTTAAAGCCATCCATCAGGGATGAACTTTTGGTCTGCAAAACTGCTACAGGTCACAGAACACAATCTTCTCCAACCAACCTAGGCTC